GGAGGTAAACTTTACAATTACTCTCTCGAATGTAAATTCATAAAGTCTTTTCTGTTTGGACAGCCAGAATATTGTACAGAAAAGAAAAATATAGCAATTCAAAGCAGGAAAAAGCACAAATTGAACCTTACAACAAATGTCTATAATTTGTTTAAAATCTATTGGTTACATGACCGATTTATAAAAGGGAGGAAATTGCGAAAATCGCTGAAATGTACTAGAGGTCTTCTAAACAAAACGAATGTATTCACTTTCTGCATACGTGGAGCGGTTCCTTCGATGGATGGTGTATAAATATGGTTTGGTGTTAATTGGAACTGACCTCAAAGTCCTCAACGTACTTAATATTGCAAAGTTTGTGCAAATCTTCACATACTGTACAAGCAGTGACTCTGCGCTGAGTGTTAAGGAGTAAAAATCCACATTTTTCCGCAGAGTCATATCAGAGATCACTTCGTTTGGAGTGGAAGTTTGTCATGTTCAAATTCCACTCTAACGTAAGTTGGGAGTGTTTTCAACTCCACATGATTCCCAGCGTTCTACACTCCTCTACATTGAGACAGTACACCCTCAGCAGCTCATATCTAGGCCTACGATAGTATTGATGTAGCGCCTAGCAGTGGTGTCACCGGCGGTTCAATACCACCTGTTTGCAGAAGAATAATATACACCACATTGGTAATGCCCCCGGTCACACCACCCTACCGCTTCCATACTGCGACCGATGGTTATAAACTCCTGGCCACTTGTGGTCATACAAGTTTCATGCGGTCTGATATGGGTTTGGTGTCGGTCTCGTCAGTGCTAATGGGGTGCAGTACGTCAATTACACGGCCAAACCGAATCCAAATCAATTCCTTACCGACTTTGTATAGACCATGGGGTGTCATGTATGACAGTGTGCTGTCTAATGTCGGTCACGTGTCGGTCTCGTACACGTAGGATTGTCTGAGGTGAACTACCCCAGTTACACCGCAAAATCGACACCAAACCTATTCCATACCGAATATCTCTTGACCGTTCGGTGAAATGTAAATCTCACGCCATTGTCGTTCTGGTGTTGGTCTCGTCAGTGTGGACGGGGTATACCGCTCTGATCACATTAACAATGTACTGTACAACAAGATGGTTCGGACAACACCAAGCAATTGATGATCACATGAATCGGGAAATAGCGCTTTAATACACTAGTCACTACCGGTATATCGATACCAGTATGCGTTCTGTATTTGAAACCTTACGACATGTACAATGTACATGTAGGCTAAGCCTGTGTAGGCCTATTTTACAATGTTACACAACCATGTATATATCATACATGTAGTTGCATCCCTGGTTACATCAGGGAGATTCACACCTCCCTGGTTTCATGTAAATGTAGGAAGTTTTCCTTAAAATTCTCAATTCCCCCACCATTTCCAAATTTGAAAAGTTATGTAAACATACGTTCGAAGTCTTGCCGTTAAAATAATCTCCGTGGGAAATATCAAAGGTTTGATTTGCTTAAAAGAGTTCACCTTCGGGTTCCTTTTATCTGTAGTTCCAGTTTTAGGGGTCAGGATAAACATTTACGAATACTATGATTGTCAATTTGTCATGTACAAAAGTTATGATGCACTGGATAACACATTAGTTCAAGCTTAAGCAATAAACGTTTCCATCAAAACATTAAAAAAGTACGTGAACCATTATTTCCCTCATTTCCTCCATGGGTATACCAATAACTACTAGTGTTGCTAACTTGCTATTACATGTAAGTACTGTACATGTACATGTACATGTATATCCATGTTTCATCCGGGATTTTCCAGAGCTTTCTTCGATATCAACGAGTTTCTTCTTCTGATTCGTCACATTTTACAATGTGCTACCTCAATTTCATAGTACTCCTAGATGAATATTGTAGTTCACTGTTACATGGGAACAAAATTATCAGGATGTTGAACTATGTTCTTTCCCCATCATTCACATTACTAACATCTTAAGTTTAACTTGAACAAAATACAAATATAATGATACCCGAAAAACAGTTTAGGTCTGCACAAGTAACTTTGAAGGAAAAAAAAACGATAAAATGATGGCAGTGTAAAATGCATAAAATGTTTAATCTTATAGCGACTATTGAAAATACAAAACATAACTAGTATCAAAGATTGTCTTTTAGACTTTCAAAACTTGTAACATAACATAGTACATGTACGTCTATATGCAACTGTATAAAATATGTCAAACGAATGCCTTCCACAATATTTATGGATGAAATATCTGAAAATCAATGTGGTCTTAAACACTCTAAATATACATGAATCCCATGAAATTGATTCTCACAATCAAATACCATTTATATAAACCGTAAAATCTCATGCAATGCATTATATTTTCTGTCCATCCTACATGTCACTCATCATATTAATCTGATACTGCATGTTGCTTTGAGAACGTAAGGGCAAGTCCATGATATATAATTATGTGTCCCATACTCCCATACAACTCCGTTTCGTGTTAGAATCGTTACCTAGCTGTATTAAAACTGAAACTCGAGAGTTCATCTTTCTCGATTTGATATCTGGTCCGATCCAAGATTTAGTTGGGCCAGGGAGGTGAGACTTAACTCACATACCCTGGTTGGGCCAATAACTTAATACAGAGAAACCTGCTTTAACAACCATCTGTACAGAAAGACCAATTTTTTTTTCTAAATGCCATTCCCCTTGAATAGTGTGTCTCCTAATTTTTTAATGAAATAGAGGAGGTTATATATGACGACCAGCTGCCAAAGACATTTTGTGTGTCTCTCTTGGGTGGTCAGATCTGTCTTTGCTGCAGGTTTAACTGTAATAATATAATTTTAAACGTCCAAAACATATGGTGAATTACAAATCTTTGACGAAACTGTTAAATCGAGCTGGGATAATATACACTGGACTTGCCCTACGGATTCAGCAGGTGGACGTTTCACAAAGCCTTTTTTCAATGACAATTGACAAATATCAGTGAAATCTGCTAATAACCAATCAGAAGCAAGGATTTCAGTAGCTTTTAACAAAAAGTGTAATTTGTCACTGATGACAAATTCTGTGAAACACCCCCAGGTGGACGTTAAATTTGTCAGCAGTGTCTTGGATTCTTCACAAACATGACCACATACATTTCATGATACAGCAATACAAACGGAGCAACAAATCAGAGTATTACAACAAAAACTATAGAGTATAGAGAGTGTATAGTAACGACAAAGGCAAAACATTATGTTACCTTGTCAATATGTCACTTCTCTAACGAATCTGACCCGATCTTGCTCTCCCAGCCCCGCCCCACATACAGATATTAACGTTCACAGAGTTAAACTTGCATACAGATAAAGATCGAAAAGGATATTTGTAATGTTGTACCAGGACTGGTACTTGTCATTTACATGATCATACTTATAGTCACTGGTATGTCTAATTCAATATTACGATGCACTACTATCCCTCTTGAGTTTGGATTTCGTAAAATTCAATCTACTACTAAGAAATCCCACCTCGAGTTACCAAGCTAAGGGAAATACGGATGGATCGTGGAAACAAGTACATGTAGGTCTAATTCTTCTCAAATCGTCGAAACTTTGGAATACATTTTGCTGAATACTATAAATGACAAAGATAAATACTGGCAGTGGATGAAAAATAGAACAAAGTTAGCTGCACGAACTACCTCCCTACATAAAACATGTTAAAATGACTTGCTTCACATGCATGCGAGCGATATGAGGCAAATAGTGACCATGACCCGAACAGTGAAGTCTCACCCAGATTTTTTAGAGCAAATTTCCATGGGAACTACATCCATGAGGTATTTTAATCACCATGCACTAGCTAGAGCTGTGCGAGATGACTATGTTTTCGTTTAGTCGAGTGAGGTAGAGAGAAAAGAATTGGAATAGTTTAGGCTTCAACTTAGCGACAATAAAAGGAATAAAAGAAATAAAACACCCTCCTTATCAATATCATATTTGAGCCTTTCCTGCGAAGCTTTTATATTTACAGCATAATTTCTTTATCATTTGTGAAATTTGACTTATGTATATCTATATAATATACATGTAGCATTTTCGATATTAATTGTGTCCATAGCTTACGCTATTCAAATATATATATTGGGTAGGTTTTTAACTTTTGATACCTTTTATTTTGTGAATTACATACATGTAGCTCTGATGAAGAAATAAGTAATTAGATATGCCATACGTCTTCAATATGACAAATTTGTTTGTTGTCAACGACGTTCTATCTCAGTAAAAAAAGAAATTTTCTTACAAGGAAATGAAACAATTAAACAAGACATGAAATACAAAAAGTGGCATTCTATTTTGAATAGAATTTGGCCTTTATTAGCGATAGTGTCAGATTAACTTAATTAAGACGTTTAGATGTTCTAACATCACCAACATAAATTCTCAACTGTGGATATATCTCAGGGCAGATAATAATAATGAAAACTACACTACAACTGATATTAAGTCATTAATATAATGACGATGATGATGATGATGGCGATACAGTACAGAGGGAAGACTCACCACATAGAGCTCCCTTTACTTAGAACCCCATGCAGTTTCACTTCAAAAAGTGGTTGTTGAGTATTAAACCTGGATATTCATATATCGTCGAGTACTTGTCCTGGTCCAGTTCCAAGTCCCGTTCCTGGTCTAGAATGATCCCGCTTCGCTCCCACATGAACAGAAGACTAACCCAGCAGAACAGAGATGAAAATCACACGAGAGGTAGTACAGAAGCAATGATTAACAATTCCTTTATCTCCACACGCGCTCGATCCAGATGATCATCCGTCGTAAATTGAATGGTAACTTGAAGATAAAAACAAAGAGATATTTCGCTGCAAAAAATATAACTTCTTTGATGCATAGCTGCACAGTAATATCTGTAGAATATATATTTATATATAGGCCTATGTGTATATAGATGCCGATAAATTGATGTTCTTTTGTCTAGGCTTGATCATCGTTTTTGAAACGTTTGAGAGCCTCGGACGAGATAAAGTGCTATTTCGTTGTAGCCCCTGTAAGCGGCGATATGCACAGCGTTCCACCCATCTCTGTTCGCTAGGGCCACATCAGCGCCACAATGGACTAACAGCTTCACCATCTCCAGGTTACCCTTGAGGACACTCTGGTGCAAGGGTGTCTGACCATGTCTGTCAAATATATTCACGTCCAATCTGGCTGGGGGCGAGGCCCTCAACAACCGGGCAAGTTCCGCGTAATTCTCCAGCCTCACAGCCTCATGAAATAACAGCTGTTGGTGCCTGACATCCCCATGAACGGGACCGGCAGTTGCCCCAACCATGGGGGAGCTTGGTCCCCCATGGACCGGTTGGGTAGGGGTTACACCTTGTTGCAGTGTGGTTGTGTCATAGTCCGGTGTATATTCCATGGCTTAGAAACAGGCCTTCGACCTCTCCCCTGCCCAGTAATGAGCAATTGCGCCTCCAAACACGATATCCAATCTTGCTAGTCCAACTTCTCCGTACAACAGCGTCTACATCGCCTCTCCATAACTGGTTTCTGCAGGTACGCAAACGTGGAATATAAAAGAAATCCCAGCACAAAAATAAAAGAATATTCACTTAATCCAGGACGTTTATCACTCCAGATTAGAGCAGTATTTCCGCTGGCAAACACAAAGAGCAAACAAACACTGAGAATAGTCCAGTTATATCTCCATATGAATGCATACGACGCAACCCGTGGGACCGTCCCTCGTTTGAAACATGTGCAACGAGAATGGGAGTGGTGTTGGCAATGTATGCAGCATGTGGTCTTCTCTGCCAACCAAAAGCGATTTTCCCACACGTTTTCCCGTCGTGAATGTAAAGTCTACGGATGATGAACGTGGACTAAAGAAACCTCATGCACACGATGAGCTATGAACCTCTCATGACAGACCTCCAGGCGGTTGTTAATGTGGTAGACCCATAAAATTAAGGAGAAGAAGCGACGACATTCACCTCATTCCCACGATATATACGCTCGCCATCCCAGTAAACTTGTGTCGTATTGCTGCCAGTTCTCTCTTCTGTCTTTTCTTGGGTTGAGTTAGCAGCTAGCGAGCTATCGCCGTGCCCCACAGTCTGACCCGAGCTCAATTCACGCTCGGTCGAACTAACGAAAGCAGTATGTACAAAAGCTCAGCCCCTCCAATTCTCCCACGGCCCCACAAACACACACAAAGCGTTGAAAGCAGCCCATATTAGCTCGAGTCTAACCTTTGTGTACCTCTGCTCGTGGTCCTATGCATGTTATTCGGTGGTGTATTTGTGTGTGCGCGAGGTGTATAGACTCCCTATTGAACAACCGTGTGTGTGGTGTGTGTCTGTATTTTTGTTCTCGCTCTGAGAAAAAAAAGGGCTTCCTTGCGGTCATAAGGAGATGGAGAAGGGAAAAAAGACCAGGGTGGAAGTGTAGTCCTGGTATAAACTCCCATAGCTGGTTAAAGAGGTATGCCGTTCACAATAAATTCGCAGCCCCGGAGGCGCTCGCTGAACTTTGTACTTAAAGGGGCAAGTCACAAGTGTATTTTAAAGATCTCAGTTCAAGTCCAGAAATTGTCTCGGTATAATCATTATCATTCAGTTTATATCTTGAAAACTAGAATAAAGAATATGAATTCGTAAATGAAACATTTTCTTTATCCTCGCCTTACCCAACCATGCATGGACCCTCAGAGTGTGGGCCTCTTTGGTTTTGACGTCATGTAGGCCTACTTTAGTTTAAGCCTATACAGTATAATTATAATTCTTAAACTGTGGAGGTTTTAAAACCTGTTTTCGTCACGGTCACTTGTCAAAGAATTTTATCGACGAACTTAATAAAATTCACAATAAAAACGGTTTGCTTTTCTTGTAGAGGTCCAAAGGTTGCATTTTCTTTCATGTCAACGAAAGTATGACGTCGATATCAAACAATAGTACTAGTAGACCTAGGCTTTGTCCAGACAGTAGACATGTGCATGGTTGAATTATGGATGAATTATATAATATATATAAATATATATATGTACACATATCAACTTAAGATTTTAATGATAATAATGATAACAATAATGGGATTTATATAGCGCCGTTTACAAAGGGCAAAACACAAGGTACATAATAACGATGTTATATATCACCGTTTTAGCCTATATATATATATATATATATATATATATATATATATATATATATCTTTCTGAAAATGATGGATACCTCTCATTCCAATTCTATTAATTTTTAGATAAAAGAACGGTAATATAATTTTGTGTTAACAGTTTTTAAAATATACGTTGTTGCTGTTGTTCCTTTTATCACTCTTCAATTATGATCACATTAACGATGGCGTAGCGTTCATGTGAGCGTTTCATACAGCCCCTGGAATTACAGAATTTCTAGACTGGAATCTTCATTGTTTAAGAGGGAAGGGGGTGGGGGCGTTATCACCCCGATTGTGAGCAAAATCGTAGAGACAAAAAAGAGCAGAATAATTCAAGAAAATGATAGGAACCGAGCAATGCGTTATCATTAACAAAAGAAAAAAATGAGCTATCAAATGGGGAAAATGAGACTGCCCCTTTAAGATATTTTTTCTTCTCGGAGAAACAGGTTGACCTAGCCCATTGTCCGATGACGGTGAACTTTACCGGGGCACGATACTCCCCTGGTACCGGTGCGGCAACTAGCTATGCCCTGTCATAAAACGTGAGAACCTCACCCCCGGAAACAGATCAAAAACTGGAAAGAATAAAGTCTGCCAGGGTTCGATTTCCATCTAAATTTGGCGATCAAGCGCCCCCCCCCCCTAGAAATGTTCTATCCATCCTATTTGATCGCACATGCCGAATATTCATAGGAATTAATTCACTATCAACGGTAAATTACATAAATAAGTAAGGCCCTTAGTTTTGGCCAAGATGTCCACTACCTTTAAAAAATGCAAATTAGTATAATGGAGAATTAAAGAAGTTTCGTGAATAAGTATGAAAAATACCAGTAACTTTACCTGCGGGCAAGTGGAATTATTTTTGCTTGTACCATCATTACCAATGATGCCAATCATGTGGTCTTTATTGCAGTAGGAAGTAGGACAAATTGACCATCGGAACGACTAGGCAGGGGCCTGGTTTGATATATTTAAAAACAAAGTTAATAGCCTGAAAAGTTTTCATGTACAATGATTATCGGCGTTTGAAATGGTTCCTTTTCATGCATTATCTTACAGGCACATCATTATTTTGTCAATCGTAAGTTGACTCAAAGTTTTAAATATCTTTATCCTTTTAGGATATGTCATTTACAGCATATTTACTTTTCACTTAGATTCTTGGGAATCCAACAATACCTTTATTAAGGTGTTATTCATATCCAGTCATGTTTGAAATTCAATTTCAAAATATGAATAACCAATATCTAGAAACACGTTCGGTTGTTGTTCTTCGAATAATCAGCAACATCCGTTTCCGTTCTCTGACTAGTAGGAGGAGGAGGAGGCGGAGGGGGCGAGGGGGCGAGAAATGTAAAATAACCAATATTCCGGAGCGACCTCATGGAGGGAGTATACTTGTTTGTAATGTATCATTATGCATTACATTTGATATTTTATGATAAAGAATCACATGCTACCGTAAAATAAATTATCATTTTATTACGCTTGCTCACAAAATACAGAAACAGCACAGTTAATATTCGGGCATACGACGTCAACCACCACCTCCCCCCCCCCCCCCCCCCCCCCCCTCTCTCCTCCCCTTACACACTTATTTCGAAATTCTGCCCGTCCGCCTATGGCTTTGTATACGTGTGTACATACCGGTATAATACCTGTAATAAAGAGACTTTGCTTGGGATATGTATATATACAACAAAAGGATGACATAGACTTTATGACCGATTTAATGCCCTACCGTGAGAATTTTTCGTCCTTGAACAGATTTGAACTTCCGATATTTGGGATTTTCCGCAGGAGTAAACGTTCTCACAAATTTTTCAAATTATAATAGGCTGCCTTTTGTTTTCGATTGAGCAATACCGTACTATGTATTCAACCTAGCTGACGTAATTTCTCACGTTAATGTTCACTTAACGTTATGAAAGTGGTATGAATATTGTTTATGATTTCGGATTTTTTTTGTTGAGAAAAGCAGTGGGAAATCAATATGTAATAGGGCTCTGCGGTATATGATTCAACAAAAAATTATCATCGAAATGGCAAACCTTTGTTACCACAATTCTTTCTTTTCATATCAATTATAATCTTGCATTCCATACCCTGCTAGATTGATTTTCTAAATTTTCGAAAAGTTAAATACTACTTTTAAAGCAGATTGCTTCGACAACATACAAGTAAGTGATGCTTAGATGAAGAATAGGGTCCAGTGGCGTAGCAAAGGTTCAGCCACTGTCACCATAGGGGGGGGGGGGGCATCGGCCCAGTTGGTGGATTACGTGCTGAACAGCGAGGATACTATAGGGAAGATGCGAGACGACTTTCTCCCTCTCCCCTACCACCTCACTCTCCCCATTCCTCCTCCCCCCTCTCTCTCTCTCTCTCTCTCTCTCTCTCTCTCCTCATCTTTCACCATGTGGGGGGGGGGGGTGTTCCCCAGCCCCCTGTGACTACGCCACTGGACTTGGATACACGAGGGGTAGTCAAGGCATGAACTTGGTCTCAACAAGGTATGCATCTCCAAATGCATCCCCTTTCCAAACTCTCTCTCTCTCTCTCTCTCTCTCTGTATTGGTCCATTCATTGTCTCTGTGCCCGTCTCTGTCTGTATATCTGCCTCCCCTATCTCTCTCTCTCTCTCTCTCTCTCTCTCTCTCTCTCTCTCGCATTCTCTATATATGTCTTTGTAAGCGTGTTTACATCATAACATCCTCATTAAAACGCCTTTAAACCAATCAATAATCTATACCTTGGCCAGATGTAGCCTAGATCTTACAACTGTTTACTTACGAGGATAATTAAGGTCCAATCAAATAAATCAATTTCAATCAAGTTAAATACGTTAGCGTACATTTCATGGGTGAGAGCACCCCCCCCCCCCCCCTACGTCCCCTCCCAATCGAAAACAACTCCCAAACAAACAAGACAATATTGCTTTAAAGAAAGGTTAGACACAGACTGGAAATGCAGTTTTGCTAAAAACGGCCTATAAAGTAATAATTTGGAGGTTTTTGAAAATTCAACATCATATGACGTTGATTCAAATCTTGCAGAAAACATCATTCAATGAAAAGCACTGCACTGATTTTTAGTCCTCATATATTTTAATACAATTTTTTTTGATCCCCCCCCCCCCACAGTGGCATTGGTGTGATATTCACGAAGCGGAATTAAGGGAGGGACAGGGAGGGGGTGCCCCTCCTCTCGGATTTCCGACAAGGACAAAATTCATTT